AAGGAATAACCAGAAACATTTCACAAGTTAAAGTGAGTTTGCCACTCTGTGGCTACTTAATTTTGAGAAAATCACTTTTGCATTTGTAGTTCATCAAAGAACAGAAATGCAAGAGTAAACTATATCTAAGACAGCTTTCTTGACCTGAAAATATAGTCCTCCTTAAAGTGAAGCAGGTCACTGGAATGCATGTGTAAACTCCATGGATTTGGAGATACGTTGTAGGGATGGTGCTCCAACAGCCTTCCAGTTGGGACACTCGGGACGTGCCGTGAGGCTGCGTTTGGCTCTGGGAAAGGCAGTGCTGTGCTGGCACCAACTGCAGCAGAGCTGTGCAGAGCATGTGGACAGCCTGCACCTCCAGGGGACAGCTGGGGCTCGGAGTGGCACGGGAGGAGCACAGAGTGCTGCCCTGCAGCCCCTCTGCAGAGCTGTGGGGGTGGAGCAGCGTGCAGAGCAGGGCCAGGCATCACTGGGGCACTGCCCGTGCTCCCTGCATGTCCCACCGAGTATCCACACACACAGCACACTGACATTCCTGCCTTCCACCCCTCACATCCTCAGAGCACTCCTTCCCGTGCCCAGTGAGTCACCACTGCTCTGCCTGGCACTGTCTGAATAAATCACTTACAGTGAAAGCACCAGGTAAGATCTGGATGATATCCCAGCCTGCCAACCAGGATGGACTTTCAGCTGGCAACTGTGCCCTGCCGAGTGTAAAATAATGCTGAAGGCCTTCAAACACTGTTACTGCTCTGTGGGTTTTATGTCTTATGGTGGTTAATGCTGATTTTTGAGAAACTGAGATCTGAGCTTGATATTAATTTTGAGTTGGGAGCAGAAGGCTTTCCCAGGTGTTCAGACCACCCTCAAATCCAAGTGCTCTTCAGAGCACCCCTTTGTGCAGCACTAAATGAGCCCCCAGCCGTGGAGAGAGGGTTAAATAGCAGCAGTTACCCCATAAATTTATCAATATGAATTAGTAATAACTGGAAATAAAGAAGTATCAGTTCTATTGGTCCAGGCCTAAATCAAAGTAGACTAACCAGTAAATCACCAATGTTGAGTAGCATGTGAGTTTCTTACAGCTAAAAACCTGAAAAAATTCATAATGAAGGTTCAAGGTATTTGATTGTACCTTTCTTGCCAGTTCAAATATCAATTGATAGCCCCCTGGACATCCAGAGCACAACCTAACCTTGCTGAGGAACTGGTCTGCTGTCACAGGAAAGCTGGAAAAGCATTTCAGCCTGTAGGATTTATAAACTGGAAAGATTTGTTGGGCTCTGATGGTCATTTTCTGTGTAAGAAAAAAGTTGCTGCAGGAGGAGTGAATTAATATAGTTAGCCATGCTTCCTGGGAAAAAATGGAGCAAATTAGCTCCTTCATTTGTTTTACTGCATTTTCCTCTGGAATTCCAAAATTCCTTGCTAATCTTTTTGGACTCTGTCTGGAAACTGTTTGTAAAAAAAAAAAGGATATTTTTGCCTTAAGACCTGATTTTCCCAAGCTGTAAATTTGGATCCAATAAATTTGGATTCCTTAAATTATCTTGTATAAATCAAATGAATGCACGAAAACTTCCAAGGTCCTAACCTGAATCCTTCCTAAGAGCTTTACAGTGCTTTGCTAAGACAACAGTGCTGTAACCTGGGAGAAGTGCAGAGGGAATGAAAACTTTGGGTGGTTCAGGGCCTGAGAGGGGTTTTTTTGATCCCTTCATCCTAAAATGTTGGTTTGTTGGGTGAACACTGCTTTGTGTTTTGCTATTCATATAGGAAGTTTTTAGCATCTAAGATTTAAAGGCATTGAGGCATGTTCCTTTGTTACTGATGCTACTGAGAATTTCCAGGTTTCAATGCAAATGCAGCATTTGCCTAGGCTGCTTAAATTTGAGATTTAAGGTGGAAACCTAAATCTTGAACTGTAATTCCTGGGGCTTTGTGTATAGAAGTAAATTCAATCATCTGATAGTGAAATTAGGGTGTGAATCCTTTCAGGTGTGAGGCTTGGCAAAGGTCAGAGTGTGAGAGTTCCTCTGCTCTTGTCCCCGAGCTCAGAGCCCCTGTGTGCCCTGCAGACAGGGCTTCAGGTGATCCCACAGCTCTCCAAACTGCCCTGAATCCAGCTGCAGCTCCCTGGGATCCTGAGGAAAGGCGAGGGAGAGTTCAGGCTCCTTCCTGATGGGCAAGGTTGGGTCTGTAGTAACTGTTAAACTTTTATTCCTGACAGTCCCTACGAAAGCAGGTCAAGCAATAACATGTCAGTGAACACACAAATATTTGCACGTTCCTGTTTGGTGTGAAGTGGGAGGCAATATTTAATTTGTAGTATTGTGCAATATGGTTTTATAAATCCTTTCAGTCAGGGTTTCATAATCCTGTGAAAAGGCTTTTGTGGGGCTTAATCTTGGCGTGGAAACGGCCTGGGTGTCTCATGGACTGTGAATTAAAGTTACAGAAACGCTCTCAAGTGACCCATCTTGCTCCTAAGTATTTAAAATTCAGCTTATTTAGGTAAAGCAGTTCATAAAAGAAAAAGCAGTCTAACAACCTAAACTAGTGAAAAATAGTGAAACCATTTAGCTTATAATTTATGGACACCTACAGGTGTAGATTCATTCAAACGTTATACTTGGCTTTGGGCACCTGATCTGAACATCTTAAGAGACAAGTTTGCTGTGTTTTTTGATCAGTGATTTTTATTAAGTCATGTGAGCAGAATGAATTTTTTTTTACCACACCAATATGTTTAAATATGCAACATTTTCTTTGGGCTTTAATAAATACCTGCAGTGGTACCCCAAATTTTGATGCCTCAGTGTTGCAGAAACACCATACAGGTATTATGCCAAATAAGATTTAATAGTGAAACAGACTGGAAAGGAAGTTTCTTGAATTATGCACTCTAGTTTTGAAGCAACAGACCAATAAAAGGTCTGTGTGTTCAGTATCAGTGGATTTGAACACCCCATCTCTTTAAAAATATGAAAACCATTTTTTGGGTGCCTTGCTGAAATGAAGGTGGTTTCCCTGTTGTCACTGGTTGACTTAGAACAGCTCTGAGAACTAAATTTCGAGTTTTTGTGAGAGGACATGTCCAAGGAAATTACTGCAGAGTAATTACGGATACACTGGGTTAATTACTCTATGGCTAAGTGCAAAATCACATTTCTCTAAACTTTAAACAAGAAACTTTCAGTAATAGAAAACTGTGCTTTATTTTGCTGTTGAGGAAAGAACAATACAATCCAGCATAAATATGTGCATTTTTCCCCTGTACCTGTACCCTGTGTGTGTACCCGCTGCCCCCATGCCAAGAGCAGAGCACAGGATATCCCTGTGGAATCACCACCTTCCTGCTGCGTAAGAGGAGAGAGAATTCCACTTGTGTTTTGATGCTGGTCGTGGCCTGTTCTTGCTTTAATTTCTCTCCTTAGCATGGAGATGAAAATATTCCACTTTCTTTTGTTTTATTCGTAAGACATGAAATAAAAGCAATTAGTTTTTAACCCCTTCAGGTGCCCTGAGCTCTCTCCCCCTCCTCCCTCCTGGCACAAACTGCTTTCACCTCCAGTTATTCCACTGGCAGTTGTGACCTGTGTGGGGTTTGTCTTTTAAAGATCTGCTCTTTGCTATAACTAAACATAACTAACTAAATAGAAAATAACTAAACTCTTTGTTATGACTAAATTGGAAGCCAGTGTGAAAATACTGGAAGCTCAGCTTGTGCCAAGGGCTCGAGCTGGGTCTGTGCTCGATGCTGAGGATCGAAGCCTTTCCCCCAACTTTATCTGGTGTATGAGCTGCTCTGTCCTTAAAAGGAGCTGTGAAATAATACCCTGGAGCTGTAAAAGGTTTGGGGAATCTCTGCAGAACATTTCTTCAGCTTCAGAAAAAAAACAGAGAGGATTTCCAAACTTTTCCTAACTTCTGGTAGTTCAGCTGGGGTGCTGGTGTGAGTAATAACTGAAGTCAGGGTATAATTTGGCTTTAGGATATCTTCAGCTGAGAATTCCAGAGTTTCCCCCCAGTTTCTCAGGGTACCATGCATCTTGACTAAGCAGAACTTGGTCTTGCAGTTTGAACGTAGAGGTTGTTCCTGTCTTAAAAACACCCCAATTTTTTGGTTGTCGGTGTCCCAGTACAGAAGCCAGAACCTCAGACACTGATGTCGGTTTTGCTGTTGGAATAAAGCACCACAAATAGTTTGGGAAAGCTGAGACAGTGGGGAGAGCCAAACCTTAATTCCCAAAGCTCCTCCACTTCCACTCTCAAGATTTGCCACCCTAATGGGAGCCTCCTGCCCTTGTGTCTGGGGGGGATCTGTGAGGGGAGCACCTGGTGCTGTTCCCTTTTTGGGGTGCACTCTGGGGACTTGTGTACAAACTGGATCCTTGAAAAATCCAGAGAGAGCAAAAAAGGCAGCAGCAACACTGTATTAAGATAGAGAACAACACGTTTTTACGAAATAACAGTAAAGAGCCAAAAAACCAGGGGATTTTTTACACATGATGATGTTTGTGGTTCTCTTGTCCAGTTGCTGCATTCCCTGCAAAGAGCATTTAGCAATGGGTGTGTAGCTTTGATCCAGAGCTATTAATCTGGGTTAAGCAACAAAGATGCTCAGTAACCTGAAAAAGCAGCTGAAGTTGCTGTTGCTGAAGGACAGAGCCCCAATGGCTGCACTGAGTGTCCCAGAGCCTCTGTCAGCACAGTGGGGGACCCAACTGGAACAGCTCCCAGCCTGCTGGGACCCAGTTAGAACGTTCAGCTGGGCACTCAACCCAGCAGGTCACACACGAGCTCAGGACAGGGGGATGCCTCGATGCTGCACAGGATCTTCAGTGGTTATTTTACCCTTGGCTGCCAGCCTGGTGACTGCTGTAGAGTAACATAGATAAGTACCCACGTTAACTTACTAATGAGTTGCCTGCCTTGAGTGATTTGTTGTGGCATCTAACTGCTTCTTCTCTTCCTTCCTTTTTGTCACCCTGCAGTGTTCTGTGCCAAGGTCTTTGTGGCTAGGCTGCTCCAACCTGGTAGAGAGCATGTGCGCACTGAGATGCCTGCAGAGCATGCCCAGTGTCAGATGTCTCCAGGTGCCTTTCTTCTTTCTTGTTGTAAATGTTATGCCTTATGCTTTGAACTTGTGTTAAACTCGCAGGACTCTGTTTAATCCAATTGTTAAGTCTGCTAAATGTTTGTTGTGCATCCTTTTTTCTGAAATCTTCTACTTAACTGCATTGGAGGAGTGACTCTTAAAGGGCTTTCTGTGCAGGAGGTGCTGGGGGTGGGTGAGGTTGTGTTTGATTGCCTGTTTACTGACGTTGTGATATAAGTAGCACATAGTTCTGCATGTTGCCTGCTACGTTTTGCTTTCTCGTTTAATTTAAAAAAAAATAACATAATGAGCTTTGCCTTTTCTCTTAAATTGCAATGAACTGACTAGCCTGTGATATTTGTGTGATTTCCTTTAGAAAGGAGAAGCTTTTTATTTGCCACTCTGTGTGTGCCTGGGTGCAGCCTGACGCTGCTCTGGGCACGTGTGTGAATGCTGAGCAGTGAGCAGGGAGCCCTGGGGTCCTTGGGTTTTCCTCTTAACTTAGTGCTGGAACTTGGAAGAAGTGAAGGGATGGGGGGTTATTCTGCATAGAAAACCACTAACCCCTAAGTTCTCTATTATTTTTTTTCTAGTGAGCTGTTGGAGCTGAGCCTGCATTAATTTATAGATGGGGAATTGCTGCTGTTTCTTCACTGGTTTGGGAGGGATTGTAAATGATAAAAAAGCATCTTTTGGTACCAGTTAACGAGTTTGAAGTCCCGGGGGATTTACCTGGGAAAGAAAATGCCCAGTGTGTGTAGTAACTGTGTGGCACTTCCTCAGGTGTTTCTTAATGTCACGTTTTTTAGCAGAGCACAGTCATTATTTAACATTTGTGTATTTTATAACATAATAACATTGTTCAGTGGTTCAGTCTTTCATGTGTACAAAGTGAGTACTTAAATTGCTTCTGTGAATGAAAACAAACAATTGAGTTTTGTTTGTCACTCCCTTTGAGTTCAGCCACAGTCTTACCTTAGACAACAACCAGTTATTTCAAAACCTCTCCTCCCACCTGCAAAATGTGGCCACTTGAGTTCCAACAAATTTCAGTTTCAGAATTAGAAATTCCTTCAAAATTTCTGTTAAATTAGAAATGTTTTTCTATTTGAATGCTTTATATTTCCCATTTTGAAATAGTATTCAAAGCAAGGAAAAAAACCCCCAAGATAAACACATAGAAGGATAATTCAAATGTATAGAAATTAACTCTGTCTCATGGCCAAATAATGGTTACAGAAGGTACCTATAGTTGTGCCAGGGCAAAGTCACTGAGGTTTGGTGTCTGTCTTGGAAATATTTGCAAGCTTATTCTAATGCAGAATCCTCCCGCTCCCTTTTCCTGATCTATCCACTGACCCCTTCCCTGGAAAAGTAAAATAAAACTTAGTTTCAGTGGGAATTGTGAATTTCCTTTTCTCCCTGGATCTTCTCTGTCAGTGGCCAGAGGATGTTTTAGCGAGTGGTCATGGTTGGTTTTAAGCTGGGTAGTGGTGTTGGCAGTGTGGTGGGATGGCCAGGGATGGTTTCCAGGCTGGTTCCTGAGCCCTGCTGAGGGTGGGAGCTGCTGCCACCCTGCACTCTCTTGCTGAATTTGGTACCTCCTCCCTACCTGGCTTTGGAAGTTGTGGCTTCAGCCTAATTGTGTTCAGCGCTTTGAGAGCTGTTTAGGACTTCTTTGTGCTGAGTCTGAGGACTTGGACTGTCCCCAGTTCCTTACAAATCGATTCCACTGGGTACATAAACTGTAAATTCAACAGAGGAAGGCTCTGCTCGGGCTGGGAGTTGATTAATTGATGTAGAATATGTTGCATTACAAACTTCTGTTGATAATATTGATTACAGGCTAAAATACAATCCAGTTTGTTGGTGAACGTGCTGCTTTAGACACGAGGTTTTGGGAAACCTGTTATCACACAGATGTGGTGCCATATAATTAACACCCAGAGCTAAGGCAGATGTTTTGTCAGAATGTGTCACTTGGAAAGACTTCTCCAACCTGTCTTGTTTTCAGGAATCGTTACAGATCTGTCACGCTGAAGTGCCAGTTCATTTGTGTAAGGCTTTCCTGCTCCATGTGCCTGTGGGAATTGCACAATCCCAGAACATTTGTAGCTGTATTATAGCAGCAGTTAGCAGGGTTAAGGAATTTCACTGATAAAGAACATCACTGCAAGGGCAGGTGGGATTGCTTTGAGGCTGTGAAAGCTCAGTGTGTGCAGAGAAACAACTGTGTGTGTCCAGCCTGTTGCACGTGGGAGTGACTGAGGAGGATTTCAGCGGTGTGGTGGTGTGTGCAGTGTGCTCTGGGGTTTGAGTCAAGCGGCTGAGGGCACTTGGCTGGTTCAGCTGGAGAGGAGGAGGCTGAGGGGAGACCTCACCGGGGTCTGCAGCTCCATCTCTGCTCTGTGTGAGCAGGGACAGCCCCCAGGGAATGGCTGGAGCTGTGTCAGGGCAGGCTCAGGGTGGAGCTCAGCAAAAGGTTCTTCCCCCAGAGGGTGGTTGGCACTGAACAGGCTCCCCAGGGCAGTGGGCACAGCCCCAAGGCTGCCAGAGCTCCAGGAGGCTTTGGCTGATCCTCTGGGGCACAGGGGGTGACTCTTGGGGCTGGACCTGTGCAGGGCCAGGGGTTGGACTGGATGATCCTCGTGTGTCCCTTCCAACTTGGGATATTCCATGAGTCTATGAAGTATTGCTCCGAAATGAAGGCTTTTATCTTTTTATTAAGGTCTGATTTATTTTGTAGAGCTGCAACCAGACGAGGTTTTGAATCTTTTGGAACAGGCTGTGGAGATATTTTTTTTTTTTAAAGTTCTCCTTTTGGGTGTGTGACCTGGTGACAGCTGAAGGGGAACTTGGAAGTGAAAGTGGCACCAGCTGCTTTTCCCCAGTTTTTATTTTTGGCACCGTGGCTTGCTCTTCATCATTTCCTGAGCCCTAAGCCCACATATATGTCAGGTGGGGCATAGATAGGTCTTGGTTCTGTAGCACACATTCATTTAGGGTAATGATGATTAATAGCAAGTGCAAGGAGGGAGATAGAGAAGCTCTTGGGTGATTCCCAGACCTTATCTGGGAGATGTATCTGTTATCTGTGTGGTGTATGTGTAGAGTAATTAGTGAACAGGCCAGAAAGAGGCAAGAACAGTCTTAAATCTCGAGCCTTGTAGAATCTCTTCAGGAAGCTTTTATTCAGTCTTGGTGCTTTTTCAACCATTTAGGCTCCAGGAGTCCTTTGGAACCCGTGTAAAAGGAGAAGGCAGAGATCAGGTTTGCTCTCCATGGTGTTAATCCTGAAACCTAATGAGGCTCTTCTAAAATCAGGCTGTAACACTGAGCAAACACCTCTGATGCCCATGGGTTGGAGGTGGTGTTCCATTTGTCCACACATAGTCTTTGAGTTCAGTCCTTTTTTTCATGCAGTCAAATACCTTCATAATTCCTGCAGTTTACTGGAAAATTATTTACTTTCTGCATTCTGTGAGCTGTTAGTGAATGGAGAGGAGAGACAGATAATTTATTAAAAAGTATTTATTCCTATTTGTGTTACTTGGAGTTTGCTCTGATCTGTGCTGACTTGCAATGTAATTGGTATTATTTGGAAATAAAGTCCTTGGTCCCTATCACTTGTTCCTGTTGCATTCAGAAGCATATATTAAATGCCAGTTCCTAATACTTGAAACTGTTATAGATTCCCAGGCCTTATTTTTAACTCCTTAATTATCTTTAATAATGCTGTTGTACCAAGGAGCTCCCCGTTCTGAACACACATGGATTCCAATAGCTCCTGTTTTCATCTGCTCCAACATGGATTTGACTGCAGAATCAAAACCATACTGGTCTCTTATTAAGGTCTTTAGAGGAACTGGTTCTATTACCAGTTGTGTAATGCAGCCCTGTGGGTGCAGCACCTTCCCTGGCTTCAGCCTGGTGGAGCATTGCAGGGTTTTAAGCATCTTTGTCACACTGATTTGGGAATAGCTCTGAGGGCTCTGGCAGGCATCATCCAGGGCTCTGGGCTCTGTAAGCAAACATCTACAGTGTGAACTGCAGACTAATCATTCAGCAGCAGAAGATAAGAGCCCAGACATCACTTTGAATTATTGCGTAGTGTAGGATGTGATGAAATAGGGAAATCCTTGGGAAATGAATTATTAGATAGATGTAATGAACTTAACCTACTAACCAAGTATTGCCTCATCAGCTTTCTTCCTTGTTTCAGTTACACTTTTCCTTCACTTTTTTAAAAAAAGATCATTTTATCTCTCTTCTAAAGCTCTGCTTAGGTTTTTTCATGCTCATTTAGACCCTCACGGGGTCTTTGGGGTTCTTAGAAAAGGTTCTTTCCCATACCTTTCTTTCCATTTATTGTTCTTAAAATTCTCAGCTTGATTGCGTGCAGTGCCCCACTCTCACAGGGAGGAATTCCTTCCCCATATCTAACATGAATTTCCCTTCTTTCAGTTTAAACACAGAAACTTCCAGAAGGAAGTTTATCTATTTATTGATGATACACTTTAGGATTAACTTGCTTAAGCTTCTGTTTGTTGTTCTTTACTAACTTGGAGCTTCTGTTGGTTGGTGTTTCTGTTCTGACACCAGAAGGAAATACAGCAACGGAAACTGGAGTTGGAAAAGTTTGTACTTGAAAGCCAAGAGTTTAACATCATAACTTCATCATCCTTTTTTCACAGTGCAAATTCAGGCACAGACATGATGCAGTGTTCTTAAAATGCCAGCAAGTGCAGGACATGCATTTCTGCTCAAGCCTTTTCCTCTGGAGCACGAAATCCCAGATGGGAGATGAGGCCTGGCCTGTCACTCTGGAGCCTGCATCCTTCTGGGAATGTTCTTCTCTGCAGCTGTTAAAATGAGTTGTCAGAACCAGGCAACTGCTTTGCTGCCTCTGTTAGGTTGGAAGGAATTTACAAATAACCTCTTTGACATGTTTTGTGGTATTTTGCCTCAAAACAGTGGGACTGTTACTATTTCTTTCTG